CGCTGAGCAATTAATTCATTTCCATGGGCCTTTTATAGTTTTGGAAACGGCGCTGGTTTCAAGGATGGCGGATCTTTTTGCTTCCCTTCTCTTCCCCCTCCCCTCCAGCTCGATTTTAGATTGGGTTGATCAGGAGCTCATCAAATTCATTCTCAGGTTAGTTTCTGTTACTGTCCCTCCATCTTTTTAAAAGATCCCGCTTCAGGTTTCCCCGCCTTACCCTAGATCGGAGCGAGGCAGCGTTGCCGGCAGAGGGAAACCCGGCTTTATTTCGTACCTGGCCCGTCGCTCGTGACCTTATTTAAGCGTTGCTCTTGGGTTGCGAAGAGGGCATAGAAAGTGCCATTTCCAAGGCCTTGGCTGGGATTTGGGTTTTTGTGGCGGCGGCGAAATGTTTCTTTTTACTTTGAATTCCAAAGCGGACCGCTCACCTGACCTCACGGAAACGTGAGAAAAATCTTACAAATTCGACTGACTCCAAGATAACGCCCCCCCGCAACTTGTTTTTAATTTTTATTTTCTGCACTTGATTTAATGCATACTAATGCTTGGTCTGCAAAACACGTTTGATACAGTAGTTTCAAAGTTTGAGGAAACCTATGAATACATTTTTTAAAATCGTGGTCCTTTTATACTAATAATGAAACGAGTGCTGAGTTTAGGATTGAAATACAGGACATGGATCTTCCTTTAGGAAAACTATCCACACCATATCCTATGAAGTACTACCGCCATACACGAACTATTATTTGCATAAACTGTTGAAAATAATAAAATAGTTTGTGCATGGTGGTGGTACTTCATAGAATATGGTGTGGATATATAGTTTTCCCTAAAAAAATATTCATGTTCTGTATTTCAATGAGATACTGTAGAATTAATAATGTATAATTTCTGATAAATGTGTTTAGGGTATCTTGAAAATTTAGATAATATAAATAGAAAGTTGCCTTATTCCATTACTCAGTATTGACCTATACTGGATGCCATTTCAGCAGTAAGTAGCACATGCACAGTGAATGCTTGTATAATATATATATATAAGATTAATCTGCAAAAAAAAAAGCCTATATAGAGTTTTCAGTGTATATAACTTTTGTCAGGTATTCTAAAACAATAAGTTATTTATCTGCAGCACCAACACTTAGAAAATAAGTTAAATGGTTTACATTTAGAAAGATAATGTAATAATTATGACAAGTTAAGATGTACTTTATTCAAAAATTCTCCTTCATTTTTATTACATGATATTAGTATCAGTCTGTTTTTTTTCCAAGCTAAGGAATGAAAGCTACTGAAATAGCTACTGAAGAGCTTACTTACAACTTTTAAGACTAATAAAGTTGTTATGATATGACAATCTTTCACATGCTTCCAGATGCTTTGTTTCTTCGCAACAAGTGATATTGCTGCCATCACATCGGAAATTATTTTTTAAAAATCAAATAATTTGAGGTGATTGCAACTTTATTGCATACTTGACTATTGCACGATAGTGTCCATGTCTGGTCAATAGATCACAATTCCAATCCAATCTCAGAATAGCCACAATAATGTTAATATGCTTTAAATAGTATCTTTTTTCAAGCAAAGGGGTTTCCTTTGCTATACAGATATATGGATCCTTTTCATAGAATCACAGGGCTGGAAGGGACCTTGGAGGTCTTCTAGTCCAAACTTTTGCTCAAGATAGGAGGAGTCTTTATTCTATCCAGTCAAGTGATTGTCCAGTCTATTTTTGAACACCTCCAGTGATGGAGCATCCATAATTCCAGAATGCAAGCTCAGGTTGCATTGATTAACTATCTTCACTATCAGAAAATTTCTCCTTCTAGGTTGGATCTTGTTCTGCCCTTTGTCACATTGCCGTCACGTGATGTTTCACAACATTTTCCACCTTCGCGGAGCTGGGATGGACGTGGCCTGCGTGTGACACATCTGGCCCATGGGCCACCAGTTTCACACCCTGCCTTAGAGAATAAGTCAATCTCTTGCTTATGACAGCCCCTCAAGAACTGGAAGTTAGTTATCATGTCCCCCCTAATCCTTCCCTTCAATAGACATACCTAGCTCCCTCAACTGCTTATAATATGATTTAGCCTCCAGTCCCTTTCGCATCTTTATTGCTCCTCTTTGCCGGATGCAGTTTTCCATGTGTGGTCTCACCAGTGCAGTGTAAAGCAGTACTGCCACTTCTCATTATCTTGATGTTACTTATCCTAACCTAGGACAGCTTTATGCTTTTTGGCAGCTGCATCGTGCACCCCCCCAGCTCCATTTTCACTGGCAGAGGGTGGCAGGAGGCCGTCGCAGCTGAAAATGGAGCTTGGGAGCCTGTTTTCACTGGCAGAGCACTTGGTCCACCAGAGATGCCCCTGACACGAGTGACGTCAAGCTGTCTAGGCCCATCCTGGCCAGGCCCACCCTGGCCTCCCGAGGTCAAACACAACTCGAATGCGGCTCTCAATGAAATCAAGTTTAACACCCCTGGTTTAAACTAAGGCCATTATTAACCCACACACTGGATTGTATGAGCTATATTCCAAAAATTATGAAGACACCATATTGTCTATGTCTTTCTCAGTTTGTTTAAACAAGATTTTTTCCCCTTTGAGCTAAACATTTGTAAACATTTTTAAGAAGGGTTCCGTCACTGTTTTAGTGATGGTTTTAGGTATCCCAAGAGAAGAATACAAGTAGTTCTTGACTTAAGACCACAACTGAGCCCAGAATTTCTGTTGTTAAGTGGGGTTTGGTCCATTAAAGTGCTTTCCTGAAGAAGAAAACAGAAGCTATGAAATCTTGTTCTTCTATATTTTTTATCTGTATAGCAAGGCTTAAATATCTTGTTATATAGATGATTGGAATGGCCAAATGTAGGAGAGTAAGATTTGCACTTTTTGTGAAAAGTCAGGAAAATATATGTCAATACTGAGGTCCCCTTTTCTCACTTTTCTAAACAGATCAGCAGTTTTTAAGATCAGCAATTTTTAGGGTCTACTGGAAGATTAAGTTATTAGAAAACGAATGGTGAAGCTCAGCTAAATACTACTACATACTACATAAAAGGTTTGTACAATGTGCAAAGTGTACAATAATAAAATATACCATGTGAAGGGAAGACCATTGAAAGAATTACTAAAGATGATGAACAGCAAAATTCAGGTTAAAAGAAAAATTTTCAAACAAGCATTTTTGGATAAATATAATTAGAATGGCGGAACTTTGGGAGACTAGATGTGGAAAGCTGAATTTCATACACAAAAAAGGAGACAACTGAATAAGACATGGCAGGTTCTTTTCTACTCAGAAGAGCTTCCATGATAGATTTGCAACCATTTATGCCTTTTAAAATTGATATATAGGGGAGAGAACATGTATCTGTTCTCCATCCTCTTTCCTCCCATAAGTCTGCCCACTTACAGGAATGTGAAAAGGAAAATAAGTCCTGTGACAAGAATGGTAAAGGACATATACTACATTGAATATTGTCCATTGTTGAAGTGTTCAAATTAAGTAGTCATACTATACCTTTACTATATAACTCAGTGCTACATCCTATAAATTTTATGAGAAAACCCTTATAATTTGCAGTGCTTATGAAGAATGGTAGTTCGGTCTTGTGTTTCCAGAACTGAATTTCCCACAAGTGCTGAATTTTGCAAGCAATGTTATATGATTCTGAGGTGGCTGAAACCACATTGTTACCTTCTCAGATTATTGCAAAATACTGTTAGAATTTCTTTTTTTAAAATCCACATAAGAAACAATTTCAGCTAGGAAAAATAGAAGCACAATTTTACTTCACATCCGTATCTTCAGTTTGCTGAGCTTTCATTGAAAGACTCTTCCCTACTGAAAGAAAATACTTATTTCCTAATTTTGCAAGGTGTTTGTGATATCAACAATGTTCTCATCTTGCAGTAATTCTTGTATTTTTTTTTATAAACCACTTCGTGAATTAGCTAAATACCAGTATAGAAATGCAATATTGTCCAGTTACCAGAAGAGGTCTCTTAAGTCTTGCATTATATTGTCTTTTTTTTTAACTTTGCAAAGCCAACTGAATTGTACAATAGCTAGTGGCTCTCATAGTCCAGGTACCGTTATATTTAGAACATAAATCTGTAAAATATAAACACAAATGAACTATTGTGCTGAATTATTTATGACAAATTAAAGCAAAACAGCTTTGTTACTGCATTACCTCAGCCTTCGTTAGCCTACTAGATATGGGCCCTTGAATCAGCAGTTGCAACGCTTGCTATGCATCTGGCTGTCTGGAAAGAATAAAAACTGCAAGGGTGCAACACAGATTTTTTTTAAATGGATTCTTTCTTTAAAGGACATAAGCAAATATTTGACAAATAAAAAAACCAGACAAATAAAGGATGAGAGATTTTGTTGGGTAGAGTACAGCATATGAACAAGCTGCCTTTAAATCAAATATCTGTCCTTTATAAGAGCAAATGTTACTGAAGGGTAGCATTAAAATGACAAAAAGTAAACTTCAGAATTAGTATTTCTTCATTTAGAAAGCATACGTTTATCTTTTAGCATTGCTGTGCTCTTCAGTGAATTTTAGCAGGTTACACTGATCATATTTTCAAGCATTAATCCTTCTGTTTAATGGCAAAGTCTGCTAAGTAGGTTCACTTGGATAAGACAATGGGATACTGTACATACTTGATTAAATTAAATTTTATAAAATGTGCAGTCCAATGCAAAATGCATAATGCAGTTTTATGACTATTTATTAGGGAATAAGGTCTAATTCAGTATTCTAACCCACAGGATTGTGCACCAGTTTCCACAAAAACATCTCTTAGCTTGGACTTTCCCTTTAATTACATATGGATTTTTGATATGCTCAAGAAGTATAGTTATGTGCCAAGACAAAACAGCATAACTGTGCCTTCCTAAGTAGTTCACGGAGCCATGAAGGGAAAATCTGTGCAAAACACGACATTCTAATTCTTCAAACTTTTCTATATTTCAGAATGATCCAGCGCCACCATCTAGTGCAGTCCATGCTCCAGAAGCTCCAGGATGCAACTGAATGCCATGGGTCAGAGAAATTAATCCGTGCAGCCTTGACATCTAGGAGGATGTTATCCTCTCTTTCATTACCCAGCTATCGGAGGCAGTTCCAGGAAGAGCTGGAAGTTGACCGTATAGCAAAAAGTCTTTACCCAGAAGATGCTCCTCGCAATATGTTACCTTTCATTTGTAAAGGCAAAGGGAACCACTTGTTTGAGGCAGCAAGTGTGTTGTTGTGGGGTAACACTAGCTTAACTCTGGAGTTACAGGTCCGCACAGTTGTGGAGATGTTGCTTTACAAGCAGTACTATTTCAATGGCATGATTGATTCTAAGGTGATGCTGCAAGCTGCTCGCTATTTTCTTTGTACAGATAAATCTCCTGAGATGACTCTCTTACCTTTGGCTACCCTAGAGGCTATCTTTGATGCTGACATTAAAGCCAGTTGCTTTCCTGGCAGCTATGTCAACATGTGGCATGTGTACGCTCTGGCATCTGTACTACAATGCAACATTTATTCCATCTACCCAATGAGCAACCTTAAGATACGGCCGTACTTCAACCGACTCATCCGACCTAGAACGTGCAACTCGCAAACCTCCACACTTCACATCATGTGGTCAGGGAAGCAGATTTCTTCCCAGGTTTTTGAAGCTCAGTACTTTGTCCCTGTCATGGGTCTGGAAGAGCTGGAACCCCCAGAATCCGTTCCGGAACCTCAGGTTCAGCCTGTGAAGACACTGGAGTTGCTGAACAAGGATCCCCAGGTGACTTACTCTAACCTACGTGAAAGATACAGCATTACCAAAAGCACCTTCTACCGATGGAGACGCCAGTCACGAGAGCATAGACAGAAAGCAGCTGCCAGATTTGCAGCCAAACATTTTTTGCAATCCTGTTTTCAAGAAGGTACCACTATTCCTCTTCAACACTTCCGACAGTTGTTCCCAGAAATTTCTCGCTCCACCTACTATGCCTGGAAGCATGAGTTGCAAAGTGTGGACAACCATGAGGTTTCTGCCTCTTCTGATGTCACCTTGTCTAAGGTTCCTCAAATGTACAAGCTTCACACTAGTCCAGACAGTGCAGGAAAATCTGAAGAAGGCCAGAGCTCAAAAGATTTCCTGAGTCAAAACAAAAATGGAACTTCCATGCAAGGAGCCAAGTCTTATCTAGAAAAATGTATTTCCATGAATAGTCTTGTGCCATACAGAAACTTTAAACGTAGCTTTCCTGGCATCTCCAGATCAACATACTATAACTGGAGAAGAAAAGCCATAAAAGGAAATCCAAATTTCAAGCCTCCCCAACCTCTTTCTGTAACCCAGAAACCAAATCTGTATCTGTCACCGAAGTCTGGAAACCTGGCTAACATGAAGATGGTCAATGGGCAACATCCAGGGCCCCGGATTTTCATGGGTATTAAGCAGTCTCTCTACAGTTGGCAACAGCAAGCTCGTAAATTGGCCAGGAAACGTGTTTGCCAATGGAACATGCCTTTCTATAAGTTTCGCTTGCGTTATCCTAATATTTCTCCTACAACCTATTGGTTTTGGAAGAAAAAAAGTGTCAAGGAGACCGAAGAGTATTGCCTCCCCTTAACAGTGGCCTCCCAAAATTTGCAACAGACTCCCTCATCTTCTGAGATTAATAGAAAGGCAGAACTTAAATTCCATTCCACACACCCCGAAGAGTTTGCTCCAGTGCCTGTGGATAAGCAGATCCCGAAACCCTACAGCATTGCAATTCCAGATTATCAAATGTCTGAAAAAGTCAACAGCAGCATGTTTGTGATGGATGTGATTGCCACAGCTCAGTTCAAAGCCCAGGCTAAACTCTTTCTCCAGCAACGTTTTGAATCAAAGACCTTTCCATCATACAAGGAGTTCAGAGCCCACTTTCCCTTAACAGCACGCTCAACTTACTACATGTGGAAACGTGCCCTTTATGATGGACTTACTCTAGTGGATGCTTAGGGATAGTTAAGATATGCTGCCTCAGCAATGAAACATTCTACAAGCTGCTATTTTGGTCTTTGTGGATTTGTTTCTTTGGCTTCCAGAGGTGTTCATCCATATTTCCCGAAGCTTAGGGAAAGATAGAAATATATTCCCAAGATAGAATATTCTTTTTGTATCATAAAGAAATGCAGCTTATTGTTTAAATTTTTTTTTACAAAACAAACTGAACAGTCTCGCAAGCTATATGTGAAAATTATTCTTAAGTTTGCATTCTGCTGATCAACTTTTCACTGATATTGACCTATGTTTCATTTCTTAACATGAAATTATCACTGGAAATCTTTAGCTTTGGATATGTATTCTTTTCAGAAGACAAGTTATTAGTTTTACTGACCCAACTGATGGATATAATATATGTTGTGGGTTCTTCCAGTATATGTAATATGTTTTGTGTAAATCCATATAAAAAGATATCCATTAAAAAAAAAGGGAGAATTGAGTTGTCCTAAGTGGTTTTTTTTTTGTAAGAAAGTGGATTAAGGACTCGGCTGTGAAACAGCTTTGAATGAGAGTTGAGAGGGTGCTGATACAGAGGAGAAATAAAACATTATCTTTTTCAGAAGATATTTGAGAAAACTTTCTGTGTTACAATCTAGTATGGTATAGGGTCAAACTTGTGGCCCACAGGCTGAATGCATCACGCCTACCCCCCCATTTAGCGAAGGGGGAAAAGTTGCGATACATCACATGATGACAATACGATGCCACAAGTTTAACACTCCTGGTATAGGGGAATACCAGTGGATACCAACATCCAGATAAGCATTTTCCTCTTGACCTATTTTTTGAGCTTGGTTTAAAATGATGGAAGAAACCCTAACCCACCTCAACTTGAACAGAGAGATACACAGATATCTCCCGCAGAGAGTTCTCCTATCCTACTCCAGAATTATCTGTGGAATCCTGCACCATCTCTGTATACAGTTCTTGAACACACTGGCAACATAGAAATCATTTCCGCTCCAAAAAAAAGGCATTTTTATTAATTAAGACTGTAAAGCCCCACAGTTTAATAATGAAGTAATAACAGGAATATATATACCATTATTACTCTAAATAAAATAGATAACTCATAAATGCATCTAACAGTTCCACAAATGGTGATGTCCTTGGTACTCTCTTGAGCCTAGTGTTTTCTTGCAGAGGGTTTATTATCAAACTAGGTGACAACAGTGCTAGGAGGGAGAGTCTCATTTTATATACTAGTGACATGCCCTGTCAATGTTGGTGGAAGTGGTCTTGGTGGGGGAATGGGACAACTTGCCACAGCCAACTTGTTGCAGCCAATTCACCATAGTCAACTTGCCATGGCCAGTGTGATGACCCAGAGTATTTCAGAAATATAACAAAACCCAAAACGTAACTAAAAGTCCTTTAATGCCTTCAACTTGGCTTCACTGTTTAATTGTTCACAGTAGGGGAGTAAACTATTTTCAAAATAACATTTCAAAGGAAAGAAACACAGTTCAAATTCAAAGAGCCAATAACAAAACAAAAACCAAAAACAAACTGCATTGAATAAAGTTCCAGAACAGACCAGGATAGATAATTGCCAACTTCAGGAAGATAACGAGGGACACTCGGTTGGAAGAACGCCAATCAAGATAAACCTTTAGGAATAAAACATTAAATTGTCTCCAGGATCTGTTAGCATGCAGGTCCAAACTCTTATGCAGATCTCACACCTGCAACCCATGAAGAGGATCATGGCCATCTCCTCCTGAATAGACCACATTTTACCCTGATCTCCTCCCAAGTAGACCATGTTTTACCCTGATTCTCTCCTCCCTGCATGCCCTAGGCTGGATAGGGGATGGGCCTGGGGTCCTCCTCTGATTGTTCAGAGTCTGTCTCCACCAGGGGCATGACAGCCAGTTTGCTGCAGCCAACTCATCACAGCCAACTCACCATGGGACAACTCGCCGTGGGACAATTTAACAATTCTATTTAATTACTTAAATAAAAATTATTTTAATTTTTGCCATTCACATTTTATTCTGTACCTCCTTTTGTATTCTTTCTTTAATGCTTCTATTCCACAATTTGATAATGGCGTAACTTTTGTCCTGCACCAGGTTGTCCTGTGGCAATATGGCCGTGGTGAGTTGTCTTGCAGTGAGCTGGCCACAGCAAGTTGACTGGTGAGATAGCCATTGTGAGTTGGCCGTGGCAAATCGATTGTGGTGAGATAACCATAGAGTTGTCTGCCAAGTTGGCCATGGCAAGTTGACTGTGACGAATTGTCATAGACCCTCTTGGTGGTTCCTGAATTAGGCTGTTGTTTGTGGGAATTTGTACAATTTTCCATCTCTGCATACAAAACCTTTGCAGCAGATACCACATACAAAAATAAAGTCCCATGTTTTCTTTCAGTCTGTTTCTCCATTAAACTTAAAAACTTCTGGTTTCAACCATACATTATTTTTAAGAGTCATCTGGATTAACAAACCTATCTGATCCCAATATTTCATTTCATTTTTACAGGTTCACTGTAAGTAATAAAACATTGGTCACATTTCCAAAATCTGTTTGACATTATATTATGCTCCTAAATGTTTTGCTCATTTAATCATATTTTATATATTCATCTTCCTGATTCATCATCCATAATAATTTATATACCTTAGCAATAAGAGGTTCATTACTGGTACATACATCCTTTTTGAAACCAGTTTTTTCATCTGTAAAAGTTATTTTTGCCCAATTTTATCCAAGAAATTGAGCATATGTAAAATCCACCTCCTCCAAGTTTTCCCTTGTTTTTAAGATACTCTTTTCAACATATGTTAATATCTCAGTATATTGTAGGCAAACCAAGTAGATTTAACTGTCATTTTTCTTCTGAAAAAGAAACATCCATAGAGGAACTTTCAGAAACGATTTTACTTTATCAAATTCAAGATGGCACATGTAACAAAATTACTCTTAACATCTATATTACCTTTAATTTTTATCATATTATAGATATGCTAAGAATCATGTTTGAATAGATAACCGATAAGGTTATGTATCATTTATATATTATTTAAATATATAATTGCCACATGGTAGCTATAGTTGATAACTACCTATTTGCAATAGGGAGGACATTTCCTTCAATAAGTTCCTATATTGTCAGAGTCAGAATAAAAGCCTGATTTTACAAACTGACAGGCTCAGCAGGTGGCAATCTTGCATTGTGAAATTGAGAAATGGTAGCACATATATATCCACCAATCTGTTATTTCCATTCTCTACAGAAAATGCAAAGAAATAGTAAGCCAAATAACTTTCCACAGGACAGGATAAACAGTAAGCCAAATAGCTTTAAAAAAATGAGGTAGAGGAAGATATACGCTAATCTATTAACATTAAAGCTGCACTGCATCTGTGGTCTACAGAAAAAAAATCATGTTTTGGAACTGGGATATGCACACTGTTTAACTAAAACATGTGTTTTCTTAGGATTACATGGCTATTGTGTATGCCCAAAGAAAGATGCAGCTTCTTTAAAGAGGGGCTGCTCTGACAAAGAACTTTTGGATCTAAAGTGCTGTACATTCCCAGTTTACATCATCACTATTCACCATCCACACTATACTGCTTTAGCTTTCAGTCCTTACCATTCTTGCTTCTTCAAAAGACATACACTATCCTTTTTTCCTTTGTCATGCTGAGGATTTCATCAATTCCATTCACCTTTACTTTTCCTAGTCTTCCTCCTGACCCATTCACATTGTGTTTTGTTATTCACTTCTCATTCATTCTTTATAAACTGCCTCAGCGTATTTCTTCTGTATTAGACTGCTAGCCTTTTAGATAGGCATCTAAAGATTGTAACTATTGTTGCAGGGTATAACAAGAGAATTTTGAAAGTCTGACAAATATTTTCTCTCCCTCTTAAGGGAGCAGTCTTAACTTAACTGGCTCATTCTCTCCTTTCAGGGTAAACCATGAGGTAAGATGGGCTTAATGGCAGTTAATGGTGGTTGAAAACCTTTTTCAAGACTAATTCCACACTCCTTTGTACAGAGACTCATTCTCTTATTGAAATCATATTCCTCAGCACCCATTAATTCTTTTACTACCATTATTGTTTACCAAACAACTTCTTAAGTATCCCATTCTTGCTGTATTTAGCTTTATTTGTATGTTATTCATCCAGTTTCCTATCTTTAATATATCAAGGAACATAAATTCATTTACTTGCTCTAGTTTTTCACCATTTCTGTTTGTTGAGACCAATTGCCTTGGAGTTCGATACTCAGATTTTCAGATTCATACTCTTTTAACATTGCATTATGCAATCTATCTTATATTTCTTGCAAATAATTTGTTTTCTCAATCAGCCGACATAGCATTATCTGATTTTAAAAAACCCTGTATATTCATATCCTCGATAAAGTTCATCATAAGCTTTCCTTATACAGGCTATCCTTGATTTACGACCACAGTTGAGCCCAATATTTCTGTTGTTGAGACATTTGCTAAGTGAGTTTTGCCCCATTTTATGACCTTTCTTGCCATTGCAGTTGATAAGTTGGTAAATGATTAAGTGAATCCAGTTTCCCCATTGATTTTGTTTGTCAAAAGGTCACAAAAGATGATCACATGACCTTGGGACACAGTAACGGTCATAAGTATGAACCAGTTGCCAAGTATTTGATTTTTTTTTTGTAAATTTTATTTGAGTTTTCACAAAAAGAAAAGAAATACAAATAAAACATCTTCATACATATCTTCATACAGACGCAAATTCAGGTTCATGCTCATTTTTATATTCTATTCCATATCTTATTACTATTTTGCATTTTCTACATAGCTTCTCCCCTCTTTTAATTTTCTCAGTTTTATTTTATTTATTTCATCTCAATTCAAATCATTATATTTATATTTTTTGTCTGTCCTGTTTCAATTGTCTATTATCTTTTCTCATTAAACAAAATTTCTCCTGTAGTTACTGATTGGAGTATGAC